CACACCCACACCCACACCCACACCCACACCCATACCCACACCCACCCACACCCACACCCGCCACCCACACCCACACCTATATCTGGCGCTCTACTTGAGAGAAGTCTATGGAAGAATATTTCTCCGAAAAGTGCGAATTCGTTGACAACACTACCTATGTTAATTGTTAAGGTTTGCAATAATTATATATTTATATTTATTATTCATGAAGACACACTATTAATACTATACACAAAACAACAAATCAGGCATGCTTCTTAAAATATGTACAAAACTTGACTAGACATCAGAGTGTGACAGAAAGAAAAAAACTACACAGAAAAAAAGACATATCCAAAACAAGATGAACTCATATCGTTAATACAAGTTACAACAATATGGTCGACCTATACTTGAATATTGTTGTCGAACATGTACAAGTTAAACGTATAATAATGAAATCTGTAAATGGACACAAAATAAGTTTCAAATTTTCCATATTACAATATTTCGTAAGTTTTCTAACCTGATTTTTTGTCGGTAACATTTTCTTCTTAGCATTATGAAAATCAACTAATACTCAGTACAAGTAGAAATTTTAAAATATAAGCTTTTCCCTATTTTTTGGTTTTTAATTAACAATATCTATATCATTTATCTCATAAAGCTTTTGTATCTTTGATTTCTTGTATTTGTTGTGCAAAAGGTAAAATTTTCATTTTATCCAGGTCACAGTTTTGCATCAATTGTTTTTCATCTTTTTCGTGTATATTGATTTGCTCAAATCGTTCTTGCATAAAATCATCGGATTGTGTTATCGTTGTTGATGTCTGTTGTATATAAAGATTTATTGGCATTGAGTCAATAGATGTTTGGATTATCGAATTTATATCCTGTCTGAGAATAATACATGATATAGAACTTTGAAGAGTTTGATGTAAACGAGCGAATTCATAATCAAGTATCAAATCACTTGATTTTGATAGTATTAATTGTGGTTTTTGTAAAGCCTCCAGATAACATTCAAATTTTGATAATACTCGAAGTTTTTCTTCAAATAAATCTGCACCCATTCGATTATATATCAATCGTTTAAGTGATTCACTAGAAAAAATAAAATTAAAACTAGAATAAATTAAAGAAAAAAACAGTTTTCTTACGTTGAATATGATTCGACTTGATTATTATTAAAAATTAAACATAAACCCAATGCAAATGAACATAATGATTGAATAAGAAGTTCACGATTATCTGTAACTGATTCAGCACATATTTGTGAAACAAGCTTACAGAAAAGAAATCTTTTAAAAATATTCTATTTTTCTTTTTAATTTTTACATACGTATTGGACGCTATTGTCAATTGAAAGAAATGTTTGTACTGCTAATGAACAGTTTGATAACCACGTACATAGAAAAATGAGTACACCAACACGACTTCGAAAGGAAGATGAAGTCTATTGATAAAAACAGAAAACAAGGAAATTTGAAATTTTCAAAAACAAAAAGGTTTTCTTTGATTTACATTCTGTAATAAATTCAGTGATATTTCCATTAATGTTTTAACATCTGTTTGTGATTGATCAAATGTCAATATAACTTTAAGTATTGCTTTTTTATATTTTTCATCATCGGCAATTAAATGTGCAAGTGCAATACTAGAACACCATGACGTTACAATATCTTTACTCAAATATCCAATTATTAATAAATGACCAAATGTGCATTGATTAGCAGCTGAATAAAACCAAAACAATTCTTTTGCTTTCCTCTTTTGACAAGAAAAAACTGACCCGTCTCATTTTGAGGTAGAAATGTTTCAACAATCATTGATTTTCCAAAATCATTTTTATGTAGATAACATTGTAGACAATAAAGTATTGATATTCGAAGTCGAAATGATTTCTTTTTATCATTGGTCATTTTATTTAAAAGACTGAATAATACAAGTCTGAAAAAAATTTAGTCCATATCATGAATGAAAAGTATTTGAAGATCTACTAACTGTTTATCTTCAGTTGTTGTATTTATAAAAGAACCAAGAAACTGCTGATTTTCAGCATTCCCATGAATAATGTCAGCAATCGTATTAATTGTCTATGAACATAAAAATATATATTGATTAAAATAATGAAGCTAAACTCACTTCAGCTAAGACATCGTCAGGAATAGTGGTAATCGTAAGCATGACACATAAACGGCTTAATATCGCTGTAGAAAAAATAAATATTAAAAGCTCTCACACTAAGAACGTATATAGAAGGAAATGATTGTCTTCGACTTATCATTGTGAACTCTTGATTTCTTCACATTATTCTAACCTACCGATTGGTTAATAGGAAGGTCTCATAAATCATGAATAGTACTCTGCATGACCAAAACATTTCACCAGGTTCACGATGGGTCACAACTGTGACCACGAATCACGACCCTTCTTTTTGGTTCGTGCATCGTCTCAGTCTTTTGTGAAAAAAGTAATACAGGTTACAAACACAGAATATGTGACTATTTTAGTATCCGTAATGAAACTCCAGTCACGGTCACTGTCACGGTTATGACCGTGACTACCATGAGCGACCGTGCTCACGTCAGGCACTACTCGTGAATAATAGACCACAATTCTCGAAGTCAGACATATACAACTGAGATTTATTTAATATTTGTGACATAAGTCTGATGACATGCGGCATAACTGAATCATAGACGATCTGAAACGATACATGAAAAATGAATCTTCTATCTACGAAAGGACTCTAATAGTTTAATTCATGTGTGAGTTAGAAAGATGAGTATGTTTGGTATCTAGACCTCTGTTCGTCATATTTCTCATTCTGTAGTCTATATTCAGAAATGGACAAAATCTAAAATTAGCTTTCACATAGTTATAGACTACCTTTTAGAAAATCTGATATTTTTCTTCTGCTTACATGTACTAAACTTTTAACTGAATAAAAATGAAGTTTCATTTTTTACATTCTCTTGTAGTACTTAATGTTTCCAGGGGTGTAGGTGTGGTGTGAGTGAACTCACAAATGACCACCACCTATCCACATCCACACCTAATCAGAAGGTATTCGTGGATTTTTATTTCGCAAAAAAATCCAATGACTTACACCTTGTTATAAATTCTAATAGAAGAAAAAATTCTAGTCGAATGAGCCTAAGTTTTTCGACCAGAATTAGATTTCGATGAACTTTCAGATCAGAAACTGTAGTTTTAGGACTTCGAAAAAAGTAATTCAGATGTCCCTGATTGTTCAAGATATCTTTAAAAAAAGGGAGATTTTTTTAACCAGCGCATTAAACTCTTGCCTTTACTAGAATCAAGACAACAAATTTTTTTTCGATCGTAAAGAAGATTTCACGTATAAAAAAATTAGAGATGATGAAATATAAAATAAGCTTGTGAAAAACTATGGGTGATGAGTGCTGATTCTGAGGATAATAAAATTAGGGTTCGGATTTTTCGGAACGTGAAGTCTACAATCTGGCAGATCTCCTTTCTGAAAACTCTCAAATCACTGAATAACCTTGGTTTTCATCTTTTTCTCTTTGGAAAAATAAGCGTACCTTAGAATCCTCTGTATTTCAAATATATTTTTGCCCCATTTCGGATATGAGGATTTCTCACAGATATCCCCGTTGCAGAATACGGCCGGGGTCCAAAGAATAAAGCGGGGATACGGAGAGACCACGGTGATACAGAAGATGCCGGGATACCGGGATCCACTTTTTGTCCCTTGTCATATACACTCATTTACACTTGTTTATGATAACTAGCGTATGTTTTAAGTGTTCACCTATTTTCTATAAGAGAACTTTTTTTATATCAGACTTTTCATGTCTCTGCTACAACTTGATAGACTCTTTTCAGCGATGCTAATTGATTTGGTTTAAAGATTGAAATCTACCTAAAAATCAGTATATTTCTATTAAAGTTTCTATAAAATTAAATAGATTTTAAAACAGTACCAAGAGAATAGTGCAGTTACATGTTGTCTTTTGAATCAAACATTCTTCAATTTTCAATAAAAGAATATTAGTCGAAAACAATTTCATTCATTTCAATGGATCTTGCTCATGAAGACAATTTTTATGGATATTGTTTGTGTAAAATTTAGTGAAAATTGAAGAAATATCTCAAATCTTATAATTATGCTATGAAAATTATATCGATTGAAAGTCAATTTTAATGAAAAAGCTTGGAAACGTGAAGTACTACAATAGAATGAAAAAAATGAAACTTCATTTTTTATTCAGTTAAAAGTTTAGTACGTGTAAACAGAAGAAAAAGCTTGTTAGCGCAGCTCCTGCGGAGCTGAAATGTGGAACTCACGTATACCTTTAGCTTTGTTACCTGACGCATCATTTGTATACTGAAAGACTTCTCGTCAACTATAGTTGTTTTCCTTGAGAATCGATGAAAAGAGCAGCAATTTATTATTTATTTGTATATTAAAAATATATATTAAAAAAAGAAAATATTGTTTTTTTCATTTAAGCGCGCTCGATTTCATTTATAATTATTGCTATATAC